CTATTAAACCCTAGAACACGAAGGAGGTCAAAATTTCTTATCTTTTTTTTTCTAATTTTGCAGGTCAGTTGGAGTTGTGAGCAGCTGTATGCAGAAATCCAAGGAGGAGAAGGTGGAAAAAAATATTTTTTTAGGTTGGTGGAGGCTTCTTTGCCTTTCTTCTACTGCATAATATGATTTGCGCACTCGTGCATATTCGACAAAAATATATATTTATTTTAGGCTGAGTCAGTTGTAGTTACACTCAAGCTTTATTTAGGCGGCTAACATGCATGTAACCTCATGCGATGATTTCTATATATACTAGTTGGATACCCGTTTGTTGCCATGGAGCAGAACAACTTTAAAGGCAATAATCTATTGGTTATTCTGCAATAAGTGTACGTATATATTCGAGCCTAGAATTCAGAATTATGATTGGCAGTTCCGAATACAAGCATTTGGATGGTCAAAGAATTGAGTTTCGGAACGTCTCTGGATTTCTATGCGCTACTTAACATAGCTAGTGTGACTCTGAGTTGAGACCCTCCCTAGTCGGAGGAAACAGCGTGCCCCTACCTCCTCACACAAGCCAACGACACCTTCCTCATTCTTTCTCCACACTAACCTATGTATTTCTCCGAATTTGTATATTAACGCACGCATGAGCATTGACAACTTCAGACAGCAAAAGTAGAGAGAATCACGTGTCATAACTCATAACATACAGAGAGCCCTCGTTTTCTACCTCCTAAGAAAAATCAGAAAAGGGAGAAATTTCACCCTTCTAATTTTTTTTTTCAAATAACAGAGAAATGTCACCCTGCCCTCTGCACCTCGAATCGCTGCCATTGTCGTTCTCCAGCCCCCTTATGTTCGACGACGCGAGCTCGCCCAACCATTGCTCATCCTTGTAGTTGCATCTCCTCTGCCCTCTGCATCTCGAACCTTTGCCATTGCCGTTCTCCAGCCCTCTTATGCTTGACGCCAGAAGCTCCCCCAACCATTGCTCTACTACACCCTTGTAGTTGCGCCAACCTTACCATATCAACCCACAACTGTGGCAATGCTGCCGAATGGAGGAATGTAGTAGGGCGAGGACCACACATTGGTCTACGGCGTAACCTTGGCATCCCTAAAATGATGATGCGCTGGCCTATATAGGAGCACGGTTCTTCTTGAGCTTCTAGTAGTGTTGCTGCCTATTAGAGCAGTCCGGCTTCAGGTGGAAGCCGTTGGAGGAACCACTGGGTCCCTCACCACTCTTTGTCCAATGTGTTGATCTGTGACCGCTCTCCTTGGTCTGGCTGTGAGAGTAGCAAAGGTGAAATATGTTAGGTTGATACTGTTTGTAGTTAAATGGGAAAAAGACAGGTCAGCAAGTGACAAACAGTTATTTGATACCTATTGGGAATCCTTCGATGAACTTGGGTAGAATTGGGAGGACCATCTGTTGGAGGAATCGGGGTAGAGTGAACTGTTGTAGTCCTGTAAGCAGATGTCAAGGTCAATAGCAATTTCTGAAATGGGATAAGTATATTTTTCGTCCCTCAACTATATCCAAAGTATAGAAATGGTCTCTCAACTTCAAAACCAGTAAAACGTAGTCCATCAACTTCTCAAACCGGATAATTTTAGTCCTTGATACCGCTTTAGGTGATTTTACTGATGACATGGCATTGTTTTGACTGTTTCGGATGGTTTCGTTGATGAAGTGGAGGCTGCCGGTCACAGAACCTTTCTTCGTTCCTTGAGAAGTTGAGGGTAGTAAACTTTCTTCGTTCAAACTCAAACTCTATTTTTGAAATTGGTTGGCATGATGGTTCTCTCTCCACTTCCACGAGACTTATAAAATAGGGATTAGCCAACGCTAACACTGGTTAGATAGCATATAAGCCATGAATATTTTGTGAAATAAAAACTAATGACAGTAAATTCGACGGACGCTTGGAATCTGATGGTTTCAATCAGACACGTACCACCCACAAGCCGGCTCGGCCCCGTGGCCTTGAGCACCATCGTCAACATGTATGTGTGTGTGCACCGTTGTCCCTGCTCTGATGGCTACCCGTCGCTGCCGCGCAGAGGCCACACACTCAACCGTGCCTGCCTTGCTCATCGTATTTTGCTCGATGCCGTCGTCGACCTCCACCCCACCTCCCTATCTACCCATCCCGATTGCCACAACGGAACTGCACCAGTTTGCGTCGACAGTCACCCGCGGGCATCCTTGTCAGCACCGGCAGTTACTACTCTTAAGCTGATGAGGCTACTGTCCAAAAGATGTGGCACTTACGGGTTCAGGTAACAGATGGCCCAGATCTCACGAGAGGAAATGGAGGGAGATCAGAGGCCGACCGTCACTACAGCACTTATTCACCGTTTACTTTTGCGTCTCTGTTAAAGCCTCCGAGCTACAGTGAATCCTCGTAATGAACTCTTTATAGGCTGTTTCGGCTTGGAAAGAAATTAAGCATGAAGAGATGCAATCTAGAGTAAAGTAGCTAGCGTATCTTTTCTTCCCTGGTTTTTCCCTTCCACCAACGAGCTGGACGAACCGTAGCCGAATCCATCCCAAATCCACCTCAAAACTACGGCTGGGGCGTGACAAAGATATCAAAGCGACCAGTCCTTCCTTGGACGGCACGGCGGCGAGCAGAATTTGGGCAGAGAGGAAGGTTTAGCTTGCTTGTTAAATCCCTTTCCTCCCTCCCATGTTCAGGCGGTGGTGGTTTGAGTGGCATTCTGACCTGATCCGGCGGCGTGAGACGGTAGACAAATTCGGACACGGAACAAGCAGCTGGAACAGGTTGTTGACGAACATCTCGTCCACAGTAAAATCCCTGGTTCTATCTTGTTCCGTGTGTCATCGGTGTCGAGTTATAGGACGGCGGCAGGATCTCCGTTTCAATTCGGTTGCTGGGCTTGTCTTAGTGTAAAATTCTTCTTCGAAATTGATGAGATCACGATGGTGGGGACGACGAGCAGGCAGCAACTGTCTAACTTTGATGCCCAAGCGGCAGTCGAATGCTTGGAAACTTAATTGGCTGAAGTACGTGAGGATATTTCAGCACTGAAAATTTCTTCAGTGGTCATCCGTGAAATCAAGAACATGGTGACCGTCCAAGCACTCAGATGCGATGATACAGAAGTACTTTGCGGCACAGGAACTATCCTCAGCCACTATCACAAATAACTCGGAAGGTATATCATCTCAAGAGAAAGCACGACAACCCTCTGTGAGGAATTCAGTTCAGATACTGTACATGAGCCGGGAACAGCAGTTACTGGGGTTGTTTTTCAGACACCAGTGAAATCGGGTCCCATTCAGATGCGACAAATGCCACCATTTACTTCTGTCTACTCTGACAGTGCTCATTGTGTGACATCGAGAGTGAATACATTCACAACACTTCCACATTCTGTGATCCCAATGGCCTGCATGTCCTCAGCATTTCCAGATTCAGATTCCACCAATACTACACATCCACCTCCTATCACTGTGAAACAACACCAATTTCAACCACACCCCGTCTGGCCAGCCCATACCTTTCAAATGGGAGTACACAGTTCAGGCCCCCCACTTCCACAATACAATCCTGTTACTGGCCAATATTTACCGACACCAACTCCAGTGCAAGGATTTACACCTCAAAAGGGTTAAAGTGACAAACCATGAGTATGACAGACATGAAAGGATACAGCAGTTGGAAGGCAGCTCGTGATAAGTGTTTGGTTACACCTCATATTATGACCAAACCTGTCATCGGATACATTATACAGGTGTATGCACTGGAAACTGAGGAACCAATGACTACACAAATTGATGCCGCCGGCCTACCCGCTGCCACTGGGTGAGCAGCCGATGACTGCTGTGGAGCTCGGGAGGAAAGCAGGGTGGGAAATGATGGGGCATCGGGGAACCAGGGTTGCATCGTTAGCTACCTCTTAACTGGGCTGGGCCATATCCAGAACGCACCGGACAACTACCCATGAAGTATTGGCATTGTTTTAAATCGTTTATTCCCCTATACTCAGGGGATATGTATCCAGAACGAATCAGAGCAGTATCCGTATCAAATACGGTACAGTATCCGTATCAGATACGGTATCTGATACAGATTCGCTTGCTTCATGATGTATCAGTGCACTCTAGCATGAATATAGTTTTTAATCTACTTACTAGCAAAATGGCCCGTGCGTTGCAACGGGAGAAAAAAAATTCATAATCTTCAATTGCCATGACCATATTTTGCTGCATCACCGAGATACACCATCACTCTCATTTTTGTCAAATCGTGAACATTTTTTGAAAATCATGAATGTTTTCTAAAATCGTGAACATGTCTGAAATCGTGAACCTTTTCCAAATTCTTGAACATCTTTATAGATTTTGAACATTTTCTAAAACCATGAACATTTTTGAATTCATGAACATTTTACACTATCTGCAAAAAAACATTTTCTAAAACCATGAACATTTGAACATCTTTATAGATTTTGAACATTTCATAAAACATTTTTATTGAATAGGCGAATATTTTTTTGGAAATTGGTGGAACAATTTTGAAATTCGTGACATTTTTTTGATTTAACAAACATTTTTCTAAAATGCATGATCATTTTTTGAAATAAAGAACATTTTATGAAGTAATAAATTATTTTTTAAGTCACAAACTATTTTTAAAATTTTATGATAGTTTGCAATGCATGAATATTTTTTGAATTGGTGAACGTTTGTCCAATTTCACTAACATTTTTTAATAAAACAACTTTTATTAAAAATCATGAACATATTTTGACTTCGCGAACATATTTTTTAAAATTGTGGTTTTTTTTAATATGTGAACATTTTTAAAAAATTGTGAAATTTATCTGAATCCACAAATATTTATAAATTATTAAACATTTTGTTTCAAAATTTGCGTTTTTATAATTTTCAAAACTTTTTTGAAGTTCCAAATTATTTAAAGTAGAAAAAATGACAAATACGAAAGAAGAAAATGAAAAAAAAGAAAATTTGAAAAATAGGTTTTCCGGACATGGGCCGGCTCAAACAGGCGCGCTATGTCGTCCCTGTGTGAATTGTTTTTTTATCACTTATAGGTAGCATCGGAGGGTAATATTTTATAACTTTGAGAGCAGTTTTGATGACGTACCGCCAGAAGCAATAGCTCATTTATTATTAACCTAACATATCCATGCATTGCAACGAGACAATAAAAATTGACATGCTTCAGCAAACATCAATTTTCGTTAATCGGGTTGGGGAGGAGGTTAAGTTTGACGATGGCAAAAATGATAGATCAATTAACAATAAGACTCTTTGGGGTGCTAGATTAATTATTGTACTACCACCAGACAATAAAAATATTGTGCATGCAGAAAGTAATTTTACCTAGATATAATTGTTGTTATTCTTTCATATCATTAATGTTTGAGATAAAAAGTGTGTATAAGATGGTTGTCAAGTTTTCTTCATACCACATCCTTTTCCTGATCTGGATTAATAGTTTTATTAAGATTAACTAAAGACTCTATTGCCATGACACGTAAATACCTGTGTTTTGGCGGCGATGATTCATTATGCACTTGTATGAATCGGGATCAATAGTGCCTAGATTATGCACTTATATGAACCGGGATCAATAGTGCCCCAAGACAATTTATTTTGTATTTACTTTACTGGACATGCAAGTATATATGTTTTTTGCTGTGTTCCCGCCTGTGCCCGTTCCCGCTGGCTCGCGTCGCGTGTAGGAGCTCGTCCCTGCCGGCGCGAAGGCAACGGGCACTCGTCCCGCGCCACGCTCCTCCATGCCGGCGCCCGTTCTCGTAGGAGCTACTCCGTGCCCGGCGCCCATCCCCCGCCGGAGCTACACCCGCCCGATGCTAGTCCCCGCAGGCGACGCTCAGCCCGGCATCGACTCGCCACGCCTGGCAGCACCCGGTATCACGCGACCACGCCCGGCCTCGTGCTCGCCGCGCCATGCTCACCACGCTCGCCGTGCCGCCCTCGTCTCACCCAGCCGCGCCCGACCTCGCGCTCGCCACGCTTGCCATGCCGCCCCCGCCGTAGGGCTCGAGCTCGCCCGCCGGCCGCCTCGCGCGCTGTAAGCTCCCCTGCCTGCTACATGTTTGACGAAATGTCAGAACAGACATATTAGAAATGGATCAACTATCATTGACGCGCATCGGCCGACCCAAACGAAAAACCGACATAGACGTCCACTCCGGCCGACCCAACAGACAAAAATGGACGCATCATGCGTCCGTTTAGATCACTGTGGTGGAGTTACTCTAAACAGAGTAAAATTGAACCTTAAAACAAAATGTAATTCAGCATGCTAACACGCGTCATGATGGACTCAGAGATTTTAATCGTCAACGTGGGCTAGCTAGCTGACACACGGCAGCTCGTCTAGAAGAAACCAGACTCCACGCGTCCTATGGAATCTGCCGTCGCAAACTTATCTCCACATTTTCTCGTCACATAACAATCCAATCTCCCCTAAGACACGCCGCCGCTGCCGCCAGGATCCTCCCCCTGCGCATCTCCCGCACACCCCACCACCTCTACACGCCGGCGGATCTCGCGCTCCACCGGCGGCCGCCGTCGCTCCAGCACCGACGGCCACTCTCGGCCCTTTTTTTCTTCTGGTTTTTCAGATCAGATCGGCTCTGTCACTCCTCCCGCTCGAGGCCGCCGTCGCAAGCTCGAGCACCGCCTTCGCTGCCCCCTCCCCCTCCAAATCAGACACGGGTCGGTCTCGCGCGCGAGCACGGCGTCGCCCACGGCCCGCAGCCCCGGAGCAACATGTCGACGCTCGCACTTCGCAGGAACCAGGAGCCCCACGACTGCTTCCCTTTCTTCAGCTCGCTGCCGAGCGTCTCCGGCCAAGCCGCGCGCCGGTGAGCCCTCCCTTTCTTCCTCCATCTCGCTTCTCTCTCCCGTTCTTCTTTTCTCTAAGAGCTCTCTCTGTCTTTTATTTTTCTCTAGAGAGACGGCCATGGCCGCCCGATGCCCGAGCGCCACCGGCCAAGGACCCAGCAGAGGAGAGGAGCTCCCTGCGACGAGCCTCTCCAGCGCCCAGCAAACCACCAGGCCGTCCCAGCCTCCTTCTCGCTTCGGCATGAACGCACGGCCGTCGCGACGGCTCGCCGCATTCCTGGCCTCGGGCGGCGCGGACGCCGGCTGCGACGCATCACCCCTTCCTTGGCTCCTGCGGCGTGGACGCCAATGGCAAGCGGCAGCGCTTGCCCGGCGGTGGAGAACGCAAATGGATAAGCGGTGCAGGGGTGTTTTTTGCAAAAACGAAGCGTTTTCTCGGATACCCACTTAAAATAGGACTGCGGGTTGAATACTCAGAAACGGAGGTTTTTTTTTGCAAAAATGACGACGACGTACGAGCAGAAGCACTCCGTGCTTTATTAGTAGGTAAAGATTTAGATTCAAATATTGTAAAACATTTAAACTTCATTAGAAACAGCAATTCATATGAAATCTGTTACTAAAACAACTAGTACTATACAACTGTTAAATGACGATGTGTACTAGCGATACTTATTCTTGGTGTGCTTTTTTAATGCGTGCAGGCATAGCCATGGTTAAGAGAAAATCCAAGTCTTGTTCTGAAATCAAGAAGAAGAAACAGCGCAATGCATATGAGCATGCACAATCCTTATCTTGTGATGAAGAGTTTTGGGATAAGGAGCAGCAAGAGATGTATCTTCAGATCTATAAGAAAGCGGAGGTGTTTGCGCATCGATCTGTGCACTTATCTGATAATATTGACACCAAATATGAGAAACTTGGTCTCAAGGGTATGCTTAGTAACAGTTCAACTTGGAAATGGGATAATGATACTGTCCGGAAATTCTACAGCACCCTTTTCATTGATTCCGATCGGACGGAAATGACATTTATGATCAATTCTAAGCGTCGTCGGGCTACGAAGAAAGATCTTGAAGAAGCCTTGTGCATCAAGCCTGTGGATGGAAGCGTTGTTTTGCACGATTTCACCAAGTGGGACAGAAATGAACTTTCATGTCTGTATGCTGAGCCTAATATGATGGTCACTAAGAAAGTTTGTGATCTTAAGCCTGAAGTCGACTTGATCCAGAAGATTAATCGATGTACTCTTTTTCCCAGAATAGGAAATCGAGGTGCTTGCGGTGACATCCTTCTCAGGCTCACTCGTGCTATTTACACAGAAGCACCTTTTGATATTGCCAATTTCCTCCTTAGTGAGATGTGCATTATCATCGAGGATCCAAACCATAAGCTGCCTTATGGGCCTTACATCTTTTCTCTTCTGCGTCATTTGAAGATTATCAATGATGAGAGTATTGGTGAGACATGTTCTCTCAGGGCATACAACCCACTGGCTATGAAGAAATCAAAGAAATCAGTTATTGTTCAGCTTGAAAAGAAGGTGGAGTCACTTTTGGCTACCTTTATTAAAAGGATGGATGAGTTGGAGCGAAAAGTTGAGGAATTTGATAAGCGAATAAAGGATGTTGAGACGCTGCTGAAGGGCTCCTCGGATATAGTCTTCAGGCGGAGAGGCGGCAATTGACGCATAGCTATCACCTTATCAGAGTAGCTGCTATTAAGCATTAGCTATATTCTCGTAGCAACTATGATATATTTTGTAATTGTGGTGTGAAACTAGCTTGATGGGTGTTGCTTTTGGGTGGTCTCCTGTTTTGGTTGGCCTTTCTGTGAAACGTGGGAGAGTTAAATCATGACGTGGATTGGAAATTTATAACCTGTGAACTAATTGCAGCTTTAGTCATCAAACTTTTTCTTTCTAATAACATCTGTCATATGTGTTGTTGGATATAATGTGAGTCAGTGGCATGTTGTTGGCAAACTATTAGACGGTGTAATTTGTGCATATTATATGGCTGATATTCGTGTTGATGGATAACATGACATGAACTAAATGTTGTGCTATTCATGTATTCACGTGATAGGTAGCTCAGTTTGTACCTTGTGTTGCTTAAAGACCTGAACAAGAAAAAGGAAATCATGAGTAAGAAGTCGGTGGCCCGTAGTGAACAGATTTGCAGTTGTTGGTGCACTGTCAGAAAGGAGATTGATAGCAGCCGATGTTGCTCGTTCGCGTCTCATGAGACAGTATAGCCATCGGTGTCTTACCATAAGCGTGGCAGTGTCAAACTGTCAATGCTGCCGTTCGCGTCTCATCAGACAGTATAACCATCAGTGTCTGATCATAAGCGTGCGAGGGGCAATGCTGCCATTCGCGTCTGATCAGACAGTATAGCCATCAGTGTTTGACCATAAGCGTGGCAGTTGCAATGCTGCCATTCGCGTCTCATCAGACAGTATAGCCATCAGTGCCTGACCATAAGCGTGGGAGTGGCAATGCCGCCCTTTGCGGCTGATCAGACAAGATAGTCATCAGTGTCTGACCATAAGCATGCTGGCTTTGAAGGCGATGCCATGTCAAGAACCAACCAGGAGGAAAAGGGATCGCCTCTTCCAGTTGGAGTACTTGCTTGGGCCACGGAGGAGGTGGCATACACATCCAGGGTGCAGCGGGCGGGCGCGTTGGCGCCTCTTCAGGGTGGAGTTTGTCTAGCTCCGGTGAGTTCATCTTGTCAGATACAAAAAGTTCAGAGTTTCAGAAGCTTCAAGTGTCGATTTCCTGAAACTTTTCAGATACGGTCAAGATGAGAGCTCCATGTCAAGGGACCAGATGGAAGATTCTTTAACGCCATCAATCGTTCTGTTGAGTTTATGCTCTCTTTGACCTTGTCGTTGGACGACGTTGCTGTCTCCGTGTCACCAGCGTACGTACTCCATATAAGCTAGAACCTGATATCGATCAGAACTAAGAAAGATTTATCAAAAGGCTTTGCCTATTTATCCTGCTATATTTACTTTATATGTTGTCCGGTTCTTGTAGAAATCCCAATTCATAGCGTGTGCTCCCTGTCCGGATTTCGATTTATCTGATAGATCCCCACGGCCACTGTTTATTAAAAGAGAGAGCCTGCCACATGTTTATTACGATTGTCTAAGGGCCTGTTCGGATTCCCTCCGACTCCGCCACTCCGCTCCCGGAGCAGGTGGAGCTGCAGTTTAAAACTGTGGAGCGGGTAAATAGGTACTCTGCAGATCCTTGAATTGTGGGGAGCTGGTGGATTGCCGAACGGCTCCTAAGTGTTGCCAGTTTCTCATAATAGTTGAAGGGGATGGCCGAGACGTTACCTGGAGGAGTAGCAGAGAACGGCAAGCTACCACACCTTCCTGGAATTCCTTTACCAAGTGACATATCAGCCATAGTCACGGAAAGTTGGAAAGTTTGGGCAGCCCAGGAAGTTCAGGGGTACAAGAACAAACTTCAGACGGTCCTGATGGGTTGCTTGTTTCTGATGGATCAAGTTCTGTTAGGAACAAGACAAGCCATCCAGAAATAACTAATAATGGATGTATATACCACCGGATGCAGAATCCTACCACAAGGCTGAAAGGGTAGAGCAAGATGAACCAGGTGTTTATATCACTCTCACTGCCTTGCCTGGAGGGGCCAACATTTGAGTGCACACAGGCTGCACATGAAGTTGCAAAAATGAAACAAAATAAAGCTACAAAAGGTAATTAAGCCACGTAATATACGTGGATTGTGGTAAGATCGAAAAAACACAAATATTTAAGAGAGGAACCCACGGGGCAAGTCAAATCATTTTAGTGGTAAAAAATTTAATTCATATTATCAAATAATTAAAAGTTATATTGATCGGTTGTGTACAAAGATTATAATCCTTAATCCTCACAGATTATTCAAAATATACAATCATTTCTATTTTAATTCCAGCAATTCACAAAGCCATGTATCAAGATCATGTCGAGGGGCCTGAACCGTTCTTTCCGTGAGAGGCGATCGCAAGGGCGACTAGGGTTTCTGCTGGCCCATCGCCGGCCGCCCTCGGCGGCGGCGCGGGTGCCGGCGAGCTTTGTCCCAGGACGGCGACTCAACGTCGGCGTGGCTGGTCTCTCCAATCTCTACTACAGATCTCCATGAACGTTGGGTTCTAGTAGTAGATGTGTTTGTCTGCTCCTTCGGTCTTTGGCTGTAGAAGCATATTTTGAAGCAGGCTGCGGCGGTACGGGCTCCGGCCAGGCGGCGGCGCGGGGGCCGGCGAGTTTTCTCCCAGGACGGCGACTCCAGGTCGGGGTGGCTGGTCTCACTAGTAGAAAAAGGGTCAAACGTGAAGCTCAATAGTGCCGGTTTGAATTTCAGCCGGCACTAATGTGTACAATAGCACCGGTTCGTGGCGGCGATCAATAGCACCGGTTCGTGGCGAACCTTTAGTACCGGTTCATGCCACGAACCGGTACTAAAGGGGATGTGTCAGCCTGCGGTCAGGCTATGGCCCCACCATCACCATTTAGTGCCGGTTCTTACCACAAACCGGTACTAATGAGGTTATGGCAAGCTGTTTTTAGTCCCACCTCACTTCCCTAACAAGCCTTTTACCATCTTAAATATGTTATTTCTCAAACTATCACAAGCACTTGGCCTTCATTGAACTCTATGTGTAGAATTTGTGGCCGCAATATGAGTCTTCATCGGTTTATAAATAGTTGATGACTCATATTGACAATTCAGATTGTACACACAAAGATCATTGATGATCAAAGTATTTTTGATGTTATAAGATCATATTGACAGTTTAGACTCTAAAGAAATATAAGATCGTGATGTAAATGATCAAAGTATTCAGGTTTCTGACGAAATTAAACTCAACTGTTACAAAGGCATTTCATTTTTTTAAACTTATTACAACTCCAGACTTTTTGTGCATTCAGTATGCACCATTCAAAGCGACGCCATCAACTTTCAACCATTTCTACCTTCATTTGCTATTTTTCATGCATTCAATGATTTGTTTTGAGAACTAAATGACCTGGAAATTGAAAAGCACTACAAATGAACTCTGAAAAAGTTGAAACTTGGCATGGTATCATCATTTCACCCACATAGATTGTTCAAAAAAGTAGAGAGGGTTACGGCAAAAACTGGATGCACTTCGTTTACAAACTGGACAATCTCTTTCGAAGTATTCAGGTTTCTGACGAAATTAAACTCAACTGTTACAAAGGCATTTCATTTTTTAAAACTTATTACAACTCCAGACTTTTTGTGCATTCAGTATGCACCATTCAAAGCGACGCCATCAACTTTCAACCATTTTTGCTTTCATTTGCTATTTTTCATGCATTCAATGATTTGTTTTGAGAGCTAAATGACCTGGAAATTGAAAAGCACTACAAATGAACTCTGAAAAAGTTGAAACTTGGCATGGTATCATCATTTCACCCACATAGATTATTCAAAAAAGTAGAGAGGGTTACGGCAAAAAGTGGATGCACTTCCTTTACAAACTGGACAATCTCTTTCGAAGTATTCAGGTTTCTGACAAAATTTTTGCGCATTCAGTATGCATTATTCAAAGCGACGCCATCAACTATATAAAAAAATTACTCAAAAATAAATAGAAGAAAATAGATAATGCAGAAAAGAAAAAAATTATATGAAGCAAAAATATTCACAAAGAAACTAAATACGGCAAAAAACTACTCAGAAATAAATAAAAGAAAAAAAATAAAGCAGAAAATAAATAACTATAGAAAAAATTACTCAAAAATAAATAGAAGAAAATAAATAATGCAGAAAAGAAAAAAATTATATAAAGCAAAAATATTCACAAAGAAACTAAATACGGCAAAAAACTACTCGGAAATAAATAGAAGAAAAAATAAAGCAGAAAATTAATAACTATATAAAAAATTACTCAAAAATAAATAGAAGAAAATAAATAATGCAGAAAAGAATTTTTTTTGAAAAAAATGTTGGGGCGCTGCCCGGTGGGCCTACCAGACCTAGGGTGTGCAAATGCAGGCCCAGAAGGTCCAGGAGGCTCACCGGGCAGCGCGCCATAGTTAGGCTCAGAAGCCTGCTATATAGAGGAGTTCGAAAGGGCAGCCGCGGCTGGGTTTATAAACCAGTGCGGCTGCCCTTCGCTCGGCGAGGTGGGACTAAACATAGCGCACCGCGGGTGGCAGCGCACGGCCTTTAGTACCGGTTGGTGGCTCCAACCGGCACTAATGCGTTGCCTTTAGTACCGGTTGGAGCCACCAACCGGTACTAAAGGGCCTCGTTTTCCGCCGCTTGGGTTGGCCAAAATTGGCCTTTAGTACCGGTTGGTGGCTCCAACCGGTACTAAAGGCTCCCCCTATATATATGGCACTTACGAAAAATCAGTTATCGTCGCCACTTCGTTCCACTTTTCTCGCGCGAGAGAGAGTCTCGCTCGATCTCGCCGACGCCGCCGCGCCGCCGTGTCGTCGCCCTCGCCGCCCCGCCGCCCGTCGTCGTCGTCGCCGCGCGCACCCGCCGCCCGTCGTCGTC